TTTCCGGCTTGAGTGGCGCCGCCGTCGGCGTCGGCGTAAACGCGCGTTGCATTATAGGACGTCTCCCATTATGACGTCACACGTTAGGTCACGTGTGACGCCATGAGGGTCACAAGTGACATCACTCGTGACGTCACCGCGCGTTGCATTATGGGTAAATTGGCCCGCTAAACTTAGCGAAAAAAAATTCCCCGCTATATTTAGCGGAAAAATTTTCCCGCTAAAATTAGCGGAAGAAATTTCCTGGTAAATGTAGCGGAAAAATTTCCCCGCTAAATTTTACGGAAAAATTTCCACGCTAAATTTAGCTGAAGAATTCCCCTGCTACATTTAGCGGAAGAAACTCCCCGCTAAATTTAGCAAAAAAATGCTTCCGCTAAATTTAGAAGAAAAATTTCCCCGCTAAATTTAGCAGAAAGTTCACCGCTAAATTGAGCGTAAAAATGTCCCCGCTAAATTTAGCGGAAAAGTTCCCCACTAAATTTTGCGGGAAAAATTCCCCGCTAACATTACCGGAGAATTTTTTCCGCTAAATTTTGTCGGGAAATTTAGCGAAAAGTTCCCACTAAATGGGAGGGGAACAGGTGAGGAGGAGGGGAGGGTACGGATGAGTAGACGGGGCACACCCTCCTCTCAGTAGCTTCCCCTCCTCCTCAAAAGCTGCGCTTAGATACGGCGTTACAGGGGATTGTAAACGTCTTTCACTTTTCTTTCTTTTCTCCTCCTCCCGCTAAAGTTTCCTGCTAAATTTAGCGAGAAAATTTCCCCGCTAATTTTAGCGGGTCTAGTTTCCCACTAAATTTAGGGGGGGGGGGGGGAATCACGTCACGTGACCTCAACACAAATTCAGTTTCCCCGCTGAACTTAGCGGGGGAAATAATGTCACATGACTTCGTGTCACGTCACCCAATAACAAATTCATTTTCTCCGCTAGATTTAGCGAGAAAATTGACGTCACGTGACCTCGACACCATTTCAATTTTTCGCTGAATTTAGCGGGGCGGTTACGCCGACGGTGACACCGCGAAACGCGGTAACGGGCACTTAAGAGCTGCGCTGTGACGTTTACTGTTAGTTCCGGATCCCTCCCGGAAGCAGTCATCAGAGGATGCGTGCTTGACACACTTGGACTTCTGCGCTGGGCACATATACCGTGCATGCTGCACTGTTCCTGCAGGCCCGAGTGGTAACAAAAGAGCCCCTCCTCCCCCTCGGGCGACCGGAGAGCACCAACTCCAGCCGAGCGCTGAATAAATGTTATTTGTTGTCCCCATCCCTGTAGTTCTAAAATGAGCCGCTTGGGGAGCCACGGTTTGATCTCCTCCCGAATGCGAGGCGAGCTCAGTTGAACTCAACGATCGTTAGTAGCTTAATGGCAGTTGGCACCACCGTGTGACTCCGGCCGATCGCGATGAAATCAACTGTCGTTGGCTTAATGACAGTTAAGAGCGCTAGTGTAAGTAGGTTATTAAATGTTATGCTATCGGAAAATTAACGCTAGTAGGTTAGCGCGTTGACCCTCTAAGCATGGGAACGCCGTCATATTAAAAAAAAAAGAGCAAATATTTTTTATATTTATTTTTTGCTCGTGACGAGAAGATAAATCGCCGTTTGTGTAGCGACTGGATTCAAAGAAACGAGGACCTGAATCGAAGCTTGTCTCATTTAGCGCCGTCAAAAAGCAGGCTACGAAGACGTGACGTTAATGCGAGTTCTGGACGTGATAAATTGGTGTGCCGTTTCTCCGCGTCCAGGCCTTTGGGAAATACACATACGTGAACGAATGAAAGATAACGGCGCAATGCCTGACTGGCCGCCGAAAGGCACCGCCAATGCGAGCGTTTAGTGCGGTTTTTAACGCGCGGATTTATGCTGCGGAGGTCCGGCCAATGGCCGCGGTAGAATCTGTACTGCGAAATTCCGTTCACTGCTCATAATTCATGAAGGTCCATTTTTATTTTCTCTTATCAGAAGAAAAAAAATCGTCTGGGGGAGGGAGGGGGGGGGGGGCGGTGTTGTGACATGAATAATGGGAAGCTTTTGGTTCGACGAGTTCGATCCATACAGCTACGCGAACTTGGGATTTCTGTAAACACTGTTGTAACAAAGTAGACGAAACAACACACCAATCTTCAAAGCTAAATATAATAGTCACGCAAAAACAAAGGAAATTGTAGCGACTTCTCATATTAGGTCCTGAAATGCTCAAGATGTTGCTGCATCAGCGGGTCAAATGTTTCGAACAGGACACCCCGTTTAAACTAGCTTATATTTCTCCTTCAATCTAGAAAAGATAAACCCGTCAGAACATTTACGAAATTTCTCCTTATTGTACTTTTAAAAGAATCCCCCATTCTTTTAAAAGTACAATCATCCCGATCAACCAGATGCGCCTTTCCACCTCTTCCGGGATTGCATTGGAGCGTATGAACAGGCCCGGTGTCACCTACCTGCCCTGCTTTATTTATTCCTGGGTCAAACAAATCATATTGCCATTTTCGTTTGGATCACAGAAATAAACTCTCTCTGCGCTCCCGGTGAAAAAAAATGTGCACGGACAGTAAGGTACGCACGTTCAAAGAAAGATCATACCGCCACACGCTGCTTTCATTGAAGTTTTGGGTGATCTACGTATGAAATGAAAAAAGCTGTTTCAAGACAGCTTTTTGCCTTGGTATGCTAAATTAATGTAACGTTGATGGTAATAAAACATGTTATTATTACATTTTTATGTGTCTAAATGTAATTAATAATGACAAAGGAAATCTCAGCCCGCCTAGCCTAAAAGCACCTTACCTAAAAGTTTGTTAAAAGCCGATCTACAAGATCATTTTCCTACCTTGCTGAAAAACGTTTTGTAGGTCGGGCTTTAAGGACTAATTCACTCGCCGTTGTACGCACGTTCACTGGCATTCTTAGAACAGACAACTATAAACTATATTCAAAATTATTTTTAACGTAACCCAACCCAAATTATAAAATAGTTTTATTCATGGGCTTGCGCTGGAAGACAATTCATCTGGTCGTTACTAGAAATATCGGTTCCGTGATAACACATGCCACCTTATTTCTTTGTATATGCGCCTTGCTATCCTCGCCAATAGAACGAGTGATTTCTGATAAAAGACACGTTTGCGTGGCTTACACAAGATTCAAAACAGTCCTACTAATTAATTGATCTATGCTTCCTGTTTGAAATTGTGAACATAGGTAATTGGTCTTCTATGGTTCCTGTTGTTTTTTTTTTTTTTTGTATAGACCGAAATGGAATTCACGAGTCGTCCAAAACAGATTGTAAAAAAAGCGGAGCGATAGAGAACATATGCGAGTTTTCGGGGAACCTATCAGAACCTGAAACTCGGTCCAGTGCTTAGCGTATTCAGCGTTCAAATAATATTAGTTTACCTGTCAGTTTGATCAACGTTCTTCGTGTGCATCCAATCGGTGGCCAACTTTTTTGATTAGTCGGTCACATGCTAAGTGACGATGATCCCTTGCAATCATGATAACGCTCACCCAGTTTCTATTTAGATATCTTTCGATGCCGTCTATATCAATACATACTGTTATTATGTAGGTAATCATTTCCCATGAATATAAGATTCACACCACGTTCGCTGAAGTTATTGCTAACACAAAGGCATAAGTAGAGTTATTAAGTGTTTGAAGGAAACGCGCCTTCTCCCGTCCCCGAAGAAAAATACGATAAACGTAAAACGAACAATGTGAAGGAATATGATAACGTTGATGCCCTTTTTGTTCCCGGATGTGTTGTGGTATGGTTTGAATGCATAAGCATGGGGCCTCCCTTTTTTATATTGATTCCTTAGGTACAGAGAGAGCTATACCTCTTGTGTTTGTAATATACTGGTTATCACAAGTAAAATGTTGTTTTTATATTGACGAAAAATGTAACGACAAGTAACGGTAATCCTTTACAGAGGTTTCGTAATACAGGAATCACTACTAAAAATATAACGGCTAGATTGTTGAATTAGCTCAGTTATAGGCAACGCGTTACGTCTATTGAAGTAATTCTCGAGTCTAAATACATCCAATAAAAAAAAAAAAAAGATGCGTTGAGGAAAAAGGAGCAATACCTGTGCCATACACTTTTTGTTAAAACCACTCAAGCGCATTAAAAACACGAGTTGATTGTTGTTTTATGCTTTACACTTGTATTGGTTTATTTTTATTGGTATATACACAAGGGACAGAACTTATTGTATAGTCAATTTATTTCAACGTTCAGACATATTGGCCGCACTTTTTGTGCCTATTTCTTATGTAGAAAACGCCGGATGGACCCTAAAGCATGTTTCACATGCAGCGATTTTGGCCCTAAAGCGGCGCGATTTCTGCCGTCGCGGCGCTCGTGCCGCTCAACCGCTGGTGCTGGCCAGAGCGCCGCGACGGCAGAAATCGCGCCGCTCTAGGGTCAAAACCGCTGGATGTGAACTAGGCTTAAAGGCCTGTTCGCACAAACAGCGGAGCGCTATAAGCAGAGCGCTGACCGCGCTAAGCGCGTGCTGACGGGAGCGTTCACCAAATTTGTATCGCACCGTCAAAACTGTTGCTCATGGCAGATGATAAGTACCTACACGTGAACAGCGCAGCGGTCCACTGCAAGTGGGAACCAGCCTTTAGTGTTTCATTGAGTAAATTATCTGGTATGTCGGTGTATTTCTTATTCTAAAGTTTAAACGAAAAACTCATCAATACATAAACCAATCAAATACATGTAACACCGCCAACGTGAAAAAATGTGCGAAATACAAAAACAGCAACCACAGCAAAGCAAAACAAACATTGAGAAACATTTGGAACGACATTTTCAAATATCTAACCAGCTGCCGGTGAAAAGTAAATTTCACGAACAAAAAAAAAAGTTTGAAAAATCTATCTACTTACTCACACTTTTTCGTAACTGAAAAGGTCACTTGACTGGCAGCTACGAAATGCAACAAGACTGAACAATGTGCGATCATCCTGACGTGTACCTTGAAAAACGCCGCCGTGGATCCGGACAAGACGCACCCGTACTGTATCTTGGACTGTCGCGCCAGGTCGTGGACGTTTTCTATGGGAAACTTGAGCTTCTCGTTGACCAGGAAGGCGGCCATGTTGGCCGTGTAGAAGGACACGATGACCAGCGAGAAGAGCCACCAGGTGATGGCCACCAGTCGCGTGGAGGCCGCCCTGTGGGGTTTGGTGGGTGGTCAGAAGAACCGGGTCTCGAAATGAAAGAATAGGGTATACTCCGTTCCTTCCCTAAGCAGTGCGGTGTAAGTTACATGCTCGTTGGACCAGTCATAACTCTATCTTTCTCCACGTGATCAGGCTCCCACCTACACCCACGGACAGAAAGCAGATTGAGGTAATGAAAAGAATCGCAGTTGATTGGTCGTACCTGAGAGAAACAGAAGAGGCCTAGATGACGGCGTGCAGGGACGTCAAAACGCCGAGATCTCATTGGGAGGATAGAGGGTAAACGCAAAGGCTAGATACCCTTGTCTCTCCGCACTGTTCGAACGCGTTCGGACGCCAAACGCCAAATGACGGCGTCCGAACGCCAGACACCGCGCGAGGAACAGACAACACTCTCGTTCAATCTAAATGGAGGGAGACAATGGGCCGATACAAAGACGGCTAATGCCTTTCCGTCTACCCACTAATTCATCCAATCAGAGCTCGGCGCAATGACGTTTTAGCGCGCATTCCTCTCCTCCTCTCCCGGCGTTGATCTCCGTATACACCAACTCATGTTTACAAACAAACCGGAGCGCCCCTAGCGGACGCCACCGGCGCCGCGCATGCGCGATGGGGGTGGGGGCAAGAAGCTCGCCGTCGCCCATAAACAAACCATTGAAATGCGATGTTGTCGGCGTCGGTGTGAGTCCCCCTGCCCTTTTTCGCGTTCGAATTGTTGATTTTACGCCCTCCTGGCGATGTGTGATTATCTTGAGGGCGTCAACGAAATTACCGAGGCTCGTTACACCACAAAACTTAACGTGAATAATGTTACATGTGGCGATTCATTCCGCGTGGACGCCGCAGTATATACGCTAATGCCTGATTCGCACGATGAGATTTCGCTCGAAATTTTCAGTAGCGACGCCGCTCGGGCTGTAAAAGCGTGAACCGTAGCTGAGATAGTCGACGTCGATACTGAAAATCGCAAGCAGAATCGCACCAAGTGAATTAGTCATAACAAGTCGGTGATGGTCACTGGTAACAATGATCAACATCTCCTTGTATCTACTGTTTACATCGAGCCTGCTTACCAACCTTCAAATTTAAATCTTTTGAGGCCTGCACTTACTTCTTATCGCAAGTACCGGGTTAAAATTTGGTCTACGGGCCGGCGTCGTCTAAGAGAGCAGACGACAAGCAGAAACGTTTGAAAGAGCAGTCGACAGTTCGAACGATCAGGCGGCCATTTGAACTTAAGACGCACTGAACGTAGTCCGCAGGTGGTCCGCACAACTTGACGGTTTTCTGGCGTTCATGTTGGAACAAAAAAAAAAAAAATCTGATGACCACAAGTATCCGTGAATTCAACCCGAAGTGCTTCCCGCCCAAGCAATCGTTGTCCGACGGCGTCTGCTTTTCCCTTTTCACGGCACATATCCAGATTCTCAAACCTTTCTCGGCACTTTTGGTATACGGCCCCAGTCGCGGCGTTTTGACGAGACGGCAGGTTTTTGTCTGGTTCCTTCCAAACAACGCAGGAATACACGTCTGGCATGGGGACTTCTTACCACTGCCCCAGACCGGAAGGGCGACCGACGCGCCTTTACCGCGCGGTGACGTCACAGAGTTGAGTTCGTGTATAGTCTGCCTGTACTCTATTTCACCTTACATTGAATCCGAGGTGACCAAATTACATTCATTTTGTAATTAAATTACATTGTCAATTACTTTTCCTGGAACGGATAGATGTAATCAATGACCTTAAAATTGCCACGGCAGGAAAGTAATGAATTATAATTACAAAATACTTAAAAATAATAAAATTACTTTCAAAATAACTTTTAATTTCGCTATAAAAAAAGAAACAATAGTTTCTAGCAATAATTTTATTTACACTATTTACAAAGAACTGCAGGCAACCGGTGTACACAAAGTTTTCCTTTTCATCTTCCCCTCTCCGATATAAATTCACGAAGAAAAAGAAAAATAATAATGAAACGGGTAGCTCCCCCCTTATCCTTTCCTCGGAACTAAAAACATAAACATCCTTCTAGCAAACACCTGGAAGTAGTTCCAAACGTGTGAAGCACTTCTTTGAACTCATCCTGCCCTCGACTAATCTTCTCTTGAGCGGTACATCCTGAGCAGTCAAGAGAATGCGGAGTCTCTTCGTAGGGTCCGAGGATACAGCCCGCTCCAGGGCTAATGCCCAGTTCTGCTAAGGCCCCTTCGATATTATGACACCCTTACAGAATCGGAGATGCCTTCCGCTCTATTGTGTCAAGCTTTGCGTCCGGGATGCCTCGCTAGTTCGTAACTTTTGCTCCCAAAGGGGGCAATCAGTTTGTTTCCTCTACACGACGTCTTTTCGAGAAACCCCGGCACCGCCAAAAACCTGTGGGCTTAGGATAAAGTAGGGTCTGCGGAAAGGTGCTTTTATTTCTGACATCTACAAGACAAAAGACTAGGCAGAGCCTTGCCACGAATCCTCTTACAATATTAATGTAAAAAAAAGGAAATTAAGTTTTTTCTAGGCGTGTGTGAATATTGAAATTTCCGAATACGAATAGAAAACGAATAAGCCAAAAACGGGGTTAGAATATTGAATTGAATATCGGATATGTGTCTAGTAATAAAAAAAAAACAAAACCGCAAGACAATAAGTAACAGCCCGTTTTATTGTCTTCTTAAAATAAATCAATGAAACTGCATTTTATTGGGCTGCAGTAGGCTAAAGATACTTCTAGTAATGGACTTATTACCAATTATCGTGTAGGAAAATTAACTGCTCAACGTGTTCAGAAAATAAGCGCTTCCCACGCGCCGCAACAGTATTTATGCCAGTAGAAAGTCCCTTTCACTCGGGAAACCTGCGACCTTTCACTAAAGTTCGAAGAAGTTCGACTCATGGGCAGTGTTGCCCGGCTACTACACGAATATATTGAATTTTTGGAAAAAAATAATTTAGAAATTACTTTATCTTATATTTCATAAAATGGTTACCAATGTTTACACCGTATAAAAACGAAAATATGCGATTTTAACGCTTTACTAGGTATTAATGGGAACCAGTGATGCCAATAAACTCAACAAATATTCCACTTTTTAGAGTCAACTAGTCTTTTGTTTTTTTAAATTTTGGCGCATGCGCACAAAAGTTTAACTTCCCTCGAACCTTTGTTGAACATCACGTTGAAAGTTCGAAAAAGTCGAACTTGGTCGAACTCGAACCTGGGCAGATTCGCGACATCCCTAGTTTTGACTGTGCGGGAGTGGCAGGCACTGATCTCTATTGTATAGTATTGTAGTAGGCTGGAACGCGGACCGCGTCCTCGGCAGCTGGGGCCGAGTGTCGCACCGGTGGCCATTGATTGACACCAGCCAATGCATGGGACTCTATGGGAAGAACGAGAAAAAGTGCCGTGTCCCCCGTTTCTAAGCTGTTATCGGCATTGCAACTTTTTGGAAGCTTTTTGATAAGCCCGTCAAACAGCTTGCTTACAACCATTAAAACTGACAGCCCTCGCAGTTCTTATAAATAAATATTTTATGGTCGAGAGTGACTCCGCTGTAGTGCAGCTCAATGAAACGAGATGTACCTAGGGTTACCGCGGAGTCGGTAATCCTAGGTAAGACGACAAGCTCGAAGGCTTTGCTACGCGGAATTCACTCACTCCCGGAAAGCCGCTCTCGAGATGGAACTCCTTTGTCATTCATCAACTTCTGGGCTTCCTCGAGGACGGTCTCATTGACCGCAAGTTCCTTTGTTTACCCCACTGCCACAGCAAGCTTGCCAGCTAGCCGTAGGTGCACAGGTGCGTTTGATGTTTTTAATCGGCGTTCGAACGTTTGAAAAATACCGATTCAATCTCCAAACACCCGACATAAGGATCGCATCACACCATAAAATACTCGCTCCGAGCACAGCGTACATGCTTCAATATTCTTACTTTTGTGCGTTTCTCCCATAGACTTGCGTGTATTGCATGGTGTCAAGCAATGGCCACCGGTGGCAACACCGACAGGCTCCCGATCCGCAATCCAGCCTGGTCGCAGTTGTTGTCAATGGCGATGCGATGTTCTGCTCGCACCTAGCTTTTTATTTCATTTTATTTTCAAACATTTATAGACGCTTTACACACGCGCCAAATTACAGCCGCCATTGCCGAGCTTCTCTTGTCTTACCGAGATACTGAGCAACTGAAGCGGTAGTTGACGATCCTTACAAAGGCCGATGCTTTAGAAAAGGACACAGTTGAATCTAATATGGCAATCACCTGGCCTGCTATGGTAATGATGAAGTAAAATAAACGATATAAGAGGAAAAAAAACAACTGAAGGTCAGTTATGGCGGCGTCCCTGCACAGCAGCTTGCAAAGCGTCTATATTAGATAAAACTTTCAAGATATATTTTATATTTATATTTAACTCTCGAGGTTTATTTTATTGAATTCATTGATAGACCACATTTCTATAAAAGTGCCACACAACAAAGCGCTTGGTGAAAAAAAAACCGAAACTGATCCTGTCTTGCTGCCATCGGACAGATAGAAACGGAGCAGACCGATAACGCACGCATCCTACGCATTTCTCAGTGAATAAACATATTCATAGGGGAATGCATGGCAGGAAGATTATTCGTTCCTTGCTTGAATATTCGCCGTTTGTGCGAATATTCGGGAACTTCCGAAAATGCAATTTTCGGATTGAATACGTTTCGAGTAAGAAAAATATTCGATTCGTATTCGAAATTTCGAATATTCGCACACCCTTAGTTTTTTTAACATTAATTTTAACCGTATCACTGTGTTCCCGAGTGCTCACGCTCGAGCTATTGACCACTTCCACTCAAAAGACGCGTAGTCTTCAAGATGTGTCCCTCCAAAAGTCACCTAATGCAGTGGTCGGCAACCAGCGGCCCGCGGGCCGGATCCGGCCCGCGAGGTAGTATCATAAGGCCGTCAGCCTCCCGGTAACCCCCCTCCCCCCCTACGCAGTCAGCTAAAAAAAAAAAATAATAAAGTTGACTAATTCGCTGCCCGTCTGCGAGCAGACTTTTTCACGAATGAAGTGCATAAAATCCAACTTCCGCTCACGAACGACTGACGAGAACCTCCACAATGTTTTGTGACTCGCAGTTAGCAGCTTGAATGTGGATGTTCGTAGTTTGGCGAGCGCAGTTCAACACCAAAAGTCTCACTGAGAGGAGTCTCTAGGTTTTCGTGGAAATGTATCTCATGGTGTTTGTCGTGAAATAAAGAAACTGTTCATTTTCGATTTATGTACGTATATGTAAATTCGTGCAAGTGCTTTTTTTTAATTGTTGTTTAATTAAGTTGGCTCGGTGGAAACAGCAGATAAAAGGGGATGTGAATTGTTACCAGTGGCCATCACCGACTTGTTATGCCTGACTCACTCAGTTCGATTCCGCCCGCGATTTTCACTATCGACGTCGAGCATCGCAGCTGCCGTACGCTTTTGCAAACCGAGTGACATCGCGACTGAAAATAGGAAGCAGAATCTCATAATGTAAATTAGTCTTCAGAGTCTATTCTGCAGCGTTTACGCAGAATGAATCGCCGCACGCCACACTAGGGGGTTTTCGTAGACCGCGTTTCCCCCTCCGCTAAGCCCTTCGCAACGAAGAAGCCGCCACCGCGCCTTCGCGCCGATGGCGTTGACTGTAGAGTTCCGGGTATCGCAACAGGTTGCGGAGAGCGTTGCGGGACGGCAAAAACGATCTATGAAAACTCGCTATAGACCCCTTTCGGAATTTTGGCAACACTGAAAAAAATTTAGCCGGAATAGTAAAACATGTAGCAACATTGGGTGATCGCCGCCATTACGCAGGGTTCGACTCGTTCGACCGGTCGGCGTGCAGCGTAGCCGCCGTAGCGTTTTGAGCTATGGCTTGTGCGGGTGTTTTCCCGATCACCTGTTGGTCTAATGGTCTATCGATACTGCCACATATAAGTGACAGAGAGGTGGAGCAGTTCTACAGGAGCCGGTCAGGCACAAACCGGTGCATGGAAAGAAGCTACAACTTCTTCGTCGAAGTATACGTGGTCCCCGCATCGATAAGGGCTAACTACTCACGGAACAGGCAAGTTCTTTCTTGTGTTTTAGTGAATTTTTTTAGTAGCATTCCATAATTTTAATACAGTTAATCATAGTGATCGAGCTTCTAGCGTGGCCACTCCGAACGACCCGGTACGCTGCCCCCGTCGTGAGCTCGTCGTTCGGTGACAGCCGAGAACTCGCTCGTTTCGTTTTTCGTACCCCTCCAATAAACGTACGACCGCGTACCAGTACCTACAAAAGGTGCCTCACGAGTCAAGAAATCGCAATCGCAAATCGTACAGAACAGCAGAAAAGGTTGTACGGGTGGGTGGCAGGCAGCATTTTAAATTATTTCCTCGGTAGACTAAGAAGTTACGCGGTTTATGGCATTGCTCACGAAGCTACAGAGTAGACTTTCCAGAACCTCTGATGTATTGGGTTTATTTCACGACGTCTGTAAACGTGCCACGTTTGTTTCAACCCACTCGAAAATGCGACATTGCAAAAAAAAAAAAAATAATAATAAAGTGTGCTGGAACTGATCTTTATTTGCCCAGAAAATATGCACAGCTGAAGTGTAAAACCGGTGTGTTATTTTTTTTTTTTTTATCCCATTCAGTGCAGGAAGTTTCTTCATCAAGGGTTCCTGCTACCGAGGCAAGAGGAAGACCCTAGAACAACATACAATGTGTTCAGGAATAAAAACCGTTGAACAGAATAACAATTGTACGTGTTCTAAACACCAACACTTTGGCTGATTTCTCACATATTTCCAAACTGATTAGCAGCGTAACATCCCTAAACGTCTAGCGGTACGGCCTTGGCACTCCTGTTCAGGCCACCACTCCAAAAGTTCCCACGATCGCAGGGCGGGTTCGAGTGATCTTCAGATTCGGTGTACACTGCATTTAGTCTGTACACCCACTCCACCCGACGTCTGTTTTCTGGAAAACTCTTTACCGGCGTGAGTGAAGGAAACGAACTTGCGGAAGAAGTAATCATGCATCTCACGCCAAACAAGTACCTAAAATGGCCTCGGTTGCAGTGAAGAAGCACTGAAGGAGGGAGCCGCTCGCGCATGCGAGCCGCGCACTGAACCGCGGCCGTACCTCTCTAGTTAGACGGAGCTCGACACACGGCCACACTACTACAACATATAATCGTTCGCGATGCTTCCGCTTACGGATGATAAGAGCGTTTTCTTGTCTAACCCGCGAAAGTTTTGTAAACAACACGAGGACTCGGTTTTTCTTTTTGAACACTTTAGAACTTGTCTGACACGTACATTTTTTTTTCCGTCTCCGTCAACGTATCCATCCTGCGTACACAAAGGTACGCAGCAATGCGATGGCATATTGATGCGGCGCGCGCAGACTGGGTGTAAGCAGCACCGTTGTAGGCGGTAAGATGCAGGCGGTTCTGGCGGGACCCCTGCGTGATGGCGGCGGACCTAGTTGCAGTTGCGTGCAACAGGTGGCGCTCTATTCCGAAAGGGGTCTATTGTGTCGGCGGTTTCGAACGCGCCGGGGTCGCCGGAGTTATATGCTGGTTGTGCGGTGACGACGGTGCCGGCAGTGCCGGGTCGGGTGGGTCGCCAGTGTCAGTCCGCTAGTTTTGGTTTGTGCGAAGAAAGTCGCGGTGGCGCGTCTGGTCACAGACGAAGTGGGAATGATACCTGGAATGTACTGCTCTGCAAGATGGTGCGGCAATTATAATAACACGCCAAATGTTTCCCTGATGCTGTTCCCAACAGATCACGGGTATGGTTTCGGTTCGGAGCTAGGTTCTTTAGTTTGCTACTGCGAAATTTGTTGAACGTAAGTTCCTATTATATGTTATTATTATTCGTTTAAGGTATGAGAGATGGGCATCGTACGCCAATTTGCCAAAAGTTCACAAGAAAACGAAAGAGCGCTATCTCTGTTCAGCTCATTTTTCGGCGGACGCATTTAGAAACAAGAAGCGATTATGCCGTGCCTTAACTCTACCTTTTACACTTTTGACATTTGGCTGAGCAGGACTATATAGCTTGATATAAGACTGATTTCAGCTTTTCTTCCCTCCCATTTTTTTTTCTTTCGTTGATCATATATAATTAAGAAGAATGTTTCTTTTTCTTTTTTTTAAACGGCTGGAAAGAAAAGATAGCTCCATTTTGACCAGCAGAAAGTGTCGTCCTTCTAGGTACCTTTCAATAAAGTTCCCCGTTTTAATTATTACAATCAAATGCACCGCCTAATTAACCGCCTTCGCGTTTTTTAAGATTTCTTTGCAAAGGTCTGGATTATTACGGACCACGCGGCTAGTTTTCTTTTCTGTCTTGCTGTGTCGTGTCGTATGTAAATGAATTTATTCTATATAAATCAGTAATAATGTGTTTCTTTGTGTTCATATCTGTGCCTTGTGGTATATAAATAATTCAGTGCAATCATTTCTATGTTACCATGTTCGTGAAAAAAAAACAAAAACGAATGAATATCACGTGAAAAAACAAAACAAACAAACCTGCTTCCGTGTCTTAGTATATGAAAATGGATACAAGAAACAAAAATAGAAAAAGGGAAATGAACGGGCGCAAGCCACCAGGGCTGCCCGTTCGCCGCAGAACACTGGCTAGGTGGCGCAAGCCAACGCCCAATTCAATGAAGCCAGCCGTACTAATCTATCCACTTAGTAAAACATATAAAATAGCTCCCAAAAGACAAGGACAAGAAGTATACAAGATAGACGCTACCCAAAACTCTGTAGTTTGCGCGGCCAGACGTCGAAATGAACGAAAGTTGCCCTCCGGCACACAGTCAGTGTAATACGTGTAGCACAGGACACGCAACAGGTCATAGAAGAGCCAGACTTGGCGCCAAAGTTCAGACCTCAATATCTTAGCCCAACAACGCACCCTACTAATCTATCCACCCATTCTTTGAATTCATTCGACTACTTGCGCCCTACATTAAAAGTTAGCCCCTGCAGAACCCTTTCCCTTTCTGTCCACCTTCTACCGTGGCGCACTCGGTGTTCTGACGTCACCACAACCCCTGCAAAAGAAGCAGACGAACTTGCGCTCCACATTGGAACCGTGCCTAGAGCGCAATCCCTCTTTTCCTTCCCCGGGGAAGCCAGGGAGGAGAGTCCCACCTGGGATTGGTCTCGCAGCTCTGATACAGCAGCGCCGTGGTGGTGTACCAAAGGCTGTTGTACAGGCTGAACACGTTCCGGGGCTTGTCCGTCAGGGAGCGGTCGCAGTCGCACTTGGCGCTGTGCTGCCGCTGCTCCGGCTGCCGCCACTCAAGCGGCGCCATGCGGGCCACCAGGTGGAGCAGGGCGCCGGTGCCTAGGTAGGCTCCCAGCACGCACAGCCAGACGTCCAGGGACAGTGGCAGCAGGAAGTAAAAGAGCCGCGAGTCCTGGGCGGGCTTCCGGTACAGGATGCCGATACCCGTGTTCATGAAGGGCAGGGTGAAGTCGACGGCGCGGTCCCGGGCTAGGGTGATGGTCAGGTCGCCTATGGCCAGGTCCGCCTCCTGGAAGGGACAAGGCGGGGTTCTCTTTTTGCGAGTACGGACGAGCAAATGAGTCCATTTTAGATGGTTATTATGCGAACGATAAGCGATTCACAATACTCCACCGAGAGCTTTGCGCATGTATTGTATCATTACCGAGTATTGTTATCGGAGTTATCTAAGCTATCTAGTAAAACTCTGTATTACGCTAAAGCTGCATGCATAAATTTTTATGACATAAACGAGAATCATTATTAATAGTGTGAATTTTAACATACTCCAGGTCTTGCAAGACTCCCAGCAGATGTATACTACCAGAAATAGATTGAATAAAGGTAAATACGTTCCAAAAATAGAAAATATTTACAAAAGTGCAAACAAAAAGCATGCACGAATGATGAAGATTTTCATAATTGTTTACGCACTCAAAACATATAACAATGAAAAAGTACACACCTCCTTGTCGTGTATACGTGTCTCTAGAGATTCTATGCTTTCGTAAAAAATTCACCAGGCGTTGGGCTAGCAAAAAAAGTTATTTTTCATGATATTAAAAATGTATATATATATATATAGCAGGAGAAGCAGAAGGTTTTTAGGTAATAATAAGAATTCTGAGGTACGCTCAGTTTCATCTAATTTACTATTCTTTCGCATTTAGGATTTATAAGGTTAATATCAAGTTAAGCGGTAATCACTTTAAGCATTAACGACTAAAATAGACTTTAGTGCTCAGCAGAACAACATCCAAAAGACCCGTGAACAACTTTGTAAAAATTTCATTTTGCACCTTAAAGTTATACTGCATAATTTCTAATGCACAGCACTTAATGAAGTCTATAGTCATAACAATATCTCAAACCAAAGAAGTTGCTATATATTATGCTCATTAGGTTCCTTCGAACGGCTTCGTCATCTGACCCTTCATAGGGCTTAGATAATTCCATTAAAACAAACCCAAATTGGAGTCATTATAAAGGATAAAAACACAAGTGGAGCAAAATATCTAACAGTCTCACATTACGGAAGCAGCTACTGTAATAATCGTGAGTCCGACCCATCTTTGGAGTGATAACGTCAGCTGTTTATACGGTACATATATTACTCAGCGGTCGTTATTGTAGTTTTCGAAAGTCGATGTGGCCGGACCCGCCGCCCTGCTTCTCCGTCTTTCTCATAGAGCCCGACCACACGCGCTCGAGTTTTAATCACGCGGAGTTGAAGCTCGCGCTGCAGATCCCAGTTACTCTGTGTTTGATCCCCAGCCCTGCTCGTTTCAATCTAGATTAGCATCATACCGCTGTGCGGCCGTCTATCACTACAGCGTGATGCACGTGAAAGTCCTCAGGCCAGTGGTTTTGCTGCACTGGCAAAAATGTTCATCTACAGTCGGTAACAATGCCTCCATACTGTGGCAGACTAAACTCCTGTTGTCTAAACATCTAACGGCTAATTTTTGTTTGTTTTGCTCATTTAAAATTCAACAGCTACCTTACTTACACGAGGACAAAACGAAAAGTGCCGCCTAAACATGCTTATATAGATCACAAATTACAAAATAACATTGTTTTCATGTGAAGTGACCACTTAATAAGTTTTCGCTGATTTTAAAAAATGTAACCAGATTGGCTTCGTCTGAATTGATCAAAAGGCAGTTTCCACGCTTGGCGTTTCTTATCAGTATCGCCAACTATTGTCGCACGAATGTGCAAGACACGCACCACGAGCGAGTGCGACGCCACCATTCACTTCCATGGGTAACTCATTTCAGAGCATCGCTACTTGCAAACACAATACACATTAAAGGGCTCAACAAGCGTCCCACGTATGCGTAGCGCCGCCAGAACTGTAGTCCATAGTAGGCAGAAGCCAGTTCACGAGACAGCTCGTGCTGCACCGTACTCTGCTCACGCGGACCATCAGCGGGGTTGTCGCGCATGCAGAAAGACTATCCCTCCCTTTGACTATGCGAGTCTTTTCCCTGCCTGGAGAATAACATTTCGCATAGCCATTAAACCCCCTTTCCCGTTTTGCACACCACATCCCCCCCATATGCCAAGATGCATGACGGCAGTGGTGGCATAACTGGCCGCGAGATCGGTCTTTTGGCCTTTTCGGAAAATCCCGGGAGATCTCGCTGCAAGGGGAATTCTGGGGCTGCTCCGATGTACGCTGGTGCCGAGTCGAGCGCTTCGTATATTCTGGTAGCGGCCCGACTCATTATCTTCTGTCATTACAAGCTCAGAACGTACAAAAATTAGAAAAACGTAAAAGGAGGTCATCACATACTCTGTTTAGCTTTCCTTCTGGATTCTATGTGTTTGAAATCAGAAATTGTTAAAACAACATTAACTATCGTCATAGATTCCTAGATAATCTCAGTTACCGTAAGTCTGAACGTCACAATTCATCAAGCAGACGCTGGAGGTGCAACATATTTAAGAAAAAAAGTGTTTTGCAGTGCTCTCTTCACGTTACAATATGCAGATCACATTCATCGAGGGAGTCTGCATTACTAACGCACGCAGCAATATCATAAAACAAAAAATCAACAACAAAAAGTTAAAGGAAAACAAGTAGAAACAAAGTTGGTGCAAAATGTTACGCCTGACTATGCACCAAAGTATCTTTAAGAACAAGCGCACACAAGTCAGTGGCACGTGTTTTTAGTAGTCGATTCTGAAGCCGCATTGAACGAACACTTTCCAATGTCGAGGCGAGTTCGGAGTATCTCATTAGTGTTGCCTACACAATAAGATGGCACCATTAGCCGATGAGAGTCGTGATTATAAGCAAGGCGCTGCGTTTCTTCAATTGTCGGTGACTACACAAGAGCCGCGGGCGCATGTTTCTTCAATCGTCCACGTAGCAGACGAACTACCGCACATTCTTTGATAAAATAACAAAACATTATATTATCGTCGTGCTTACCATATTCAACGACGAAAAAAAAAACATAGCACTTTTTGATGGTTTTCTACGGTCCAAATATTCATATTGCGGCTTGCTGCGTGCGTTAGTCTATTAAGAAAATGTAGTTTTACACATTCGTTTGGAGGAGCCTACACTGACAAAAAAATAAGAGTTTACCGGGACCCGACGGCATTAGGTACCATGCACTGAGGAATCTCCCCGAGGAATCCAAACAAAGCTTTTTGGGTAAATACACCCAAGTCTGAAATTCTGTAAAACCCCCAAGGCAGTCGAAATTGTCCTGCGTAACACAAATTGCCAAGCCAGGGAAAACCTAAGACAAAATAGAAAATATGAGGCCTGTCTCGCTGACATCAAATATAAGCAAGACAATGAAAACAAAATCATCCTAAGACATATGGTACCTGAAGACTCACCAGAGACTTGATTCTATATAGACAATCTAGTTTCTGAAAGGCGATGGGCAAGCAGGACAGCCTATTGTTACTATACGAGGGCGTCGTGACCAACAAAAATTAAGAAGATCCGCGGCTCGTCGTCGCCCCGGACATCGCAAAAGCTTTTGATGCCGTCCCACACAGGGCCGTCATACAAGGGGTTAAGCAATGCAGAATTCAAGGCAAGAACCTGGACCTTATAATGAACTTTCTCCGAGACAGGAGGTTTCAAGGGAAGATTTGTAATACCAACGGACCTGCACTGTTCGAACTGCAGAGGAGTACTGCAAGGGGCAGTATAATCTCTCCGGCGCTATTATGGTGATGGCTGAGGTGCCTGTAAGGCTTTGAGAGATTGAGGGTTTCGGTTTCATCGTGTACACAGATGATGTCTCACTCTGGACACGTGGATGACTTTTGGGAGAACATAAACGGACGATGCAACACGGAGATTACGAAGTAGTAAGAAACTTTTCCGATGTCGGGATGAAACCACCTCTTGAGAAAAACCAGTTTACGGTCGCTGCCAGGCCAAGCGTTCACAGAAAAGCCTGGTGCCGTTATGATATGACTGACGAACGGACAAGAAATAAGTGGAAGCTCGCACATCAAGGTGCTGGAGGTCACTTTTGAGGAGACCGCCCGCAGTACCAGGTGGATACCTGAGATAAAAAAAGGCGTGGACATAAGGACTCAGGCTCGTTCGAAGAACAACGATTAGGTCCTGGCGAGCTGACGAGAAGCCTCTTAGGATTATGACAGAAGCACCTCTCACCTCGAGGGCTTTGTACAGCTGTAACTGGCTCAATTTTAATAGATTAAATAAAAAAAAAAAAAAAAAAACTCGGTAGGCTGAATTATCAATCGATGAGGGTGGTCGCGGTCCTTCTAAGTACACTGTCATTCAAGACTTGAGAAAAGAAGCTATAATGAACATAATCAAAGAACGCGCAAAGGTTCAAAACATCTCATAATTTCAGTGACTCAAGCGAACCACGCACGAACACATGCTGCTGGAAATTACAGGGTACGACATGCAGGACAGGCACCCGCTAGAATAACCACAAACCCCTTGGCAGGACACCGCCATCATTGACCAGAAACCTATGCCGAAAATGCTCAACCAAGAAAAGCGGGCTCGCGCGGCCAGACTGCACGTAGCCGGGTGTGAAGAACACGTGACGGAAGAGGAACTAAGATATACTGAAGCATCCAAAATAGAGAAGGCTATATCCACGTCCCGGTACGATCCGAGAAGAAACGTAGACTGTACCGCCATACTACCCGAGGGAACCACTGTCAACAAGGCAGAACTCAGGGCCATGGTGGCGATGGCAAATAAGCTAGAAAGACAGGTCCAGCCAGGTAAAGCACGGGTATTCACAGACTCTCAAGAAGCGATAGAAGAATGCAGATGCAGCAGAACCAAGAGCCGCACCGTCAAAAAGATCAAGAAAGCAGCAACCGATCTTCGCATTAGGGAAACTTCCCTGACAATCAAGTGCCTACCCGGACACAGTGGCATACCCGGGAACGAGTGGGCTCACCGAGCCGCAGCGGAGGCAGCCAATAGCAACCACTCCGCGCAGGGCCCAACCTCTCGGGAGAATACGCAGCCCGAAGCAGAGGACCCGAAAGAGCAGGCCGAAC